AAAAAAAATTTATGAAATAGAACAAAATTATAAAATTTCTCTTACGCTAACAATTCATTGCAAGATTTTTTTTGTGACAGAAACTACTGATTGAAAAATGCATTTCATTGCTTCTAGTGTGAATTTTATCCATATAGTTCAAGCACTTTTAGATATTTCTTCATAAATAACAAAGTGTGGCAATTGATGCTGCATGGTTGGAAAACTTATACTGGGGCAATTTCTGAAGTCATCATTTAGCAAGATTTATGGTCAATGCAATGGATTTGTCAGCAAGTACAACCTATCATTAAGTCGAATGCTGACTGACCTGTTCATACTAATTGTTAGGCCCTTATTTACATACTAAATTGCCTACGGATTTTCCATTTTTTCCCGATCATGAGAATGAGCAAATGGCGGGTGTGACCGGTCGGCAGGGGATGCTTACTTCTCTATGGCACCAGATCCCACTTCTGGTGTTTTTCGAGGTCCGTGTTTGCTCTGCTCCCGATTTGTATTGTTTAAATGGACTTTGAACTTGAATACTGTTCGTTATCTCCATATTTCATTCTTTAAAATAAGTGTAAAAATAAATATCGTATTTACATATATTTCAAATTTACAAATAATTACCATTTAATCCGATGGTATATACCGAATTATAGACGAACTCTTTCTTCTTCCTGTGCTTTTTACTATTATACAAAATGATTAAATCACAAATAAGCAAAAATATCCAGTTGCAATAGGATTGTGATTATTTTCAGTCCTTTTATAATACGTTTTGATAGAAATAAAAATATAAATATATAATTGTCTGACAGCATATTCGCAATATTCGTAAATAAAGCATCATTCTTTAAATATCAATAAGTCTATAAACAAAAAACACAACCTGTAACATATGAAAACAGCCATCACAAAGAATACCCCCAGTATTAAAAGGGCTCCAGCTACGCCAGGTATAATTGAAGTAAAGGGTGTTCTTTTTGAAAGGTCTTCAGGAACTGATATATATATATATATATATATATATATATATATATATATATATATATATATATATATATATATATATATATATATATATATATATATAACAGATTAAATAATGCAAAATTGCAATGACAATGACAAACAATGATTTCATATTTAAATATTCTAATACTATATTCTTTGAAATACTACTAATATGCAAATTTCATTTTTTTATTATTCTGGACGCACAAATAAATCCATGTTAATTATGAAGGAATGTAAGAATGATTAACATACTTTCAATAACATACTTTCAATTCAATTTATCCCAAGAAAGGCGTTTTTAAATAGTAAACTGACATACACCTGTCGCATTGTACTACACGTATTCTTGAATAGTTCTTGGCTATGTATTTCTTTATTAGCTTTTTACAGTCATAAGTCCTATCATTCAAAGACAGTGCAAAACAAAGTATAAACACATATATTAATGTTTGCTTGCTGAAAAGGAAATTTCTATTTACCATGAAGATAAAACATTTTTATAGTTGCCATAACAAATTAAAGTGTATTTTTCATTTTTTGAATTTTATTTTATTTTATTTTGTGTGTGTGTGTGTGTGTGTGTGGGGGGGGGGGGTTGACCATTTTCTGAAGATCACAAATCTTGAATAATTGTAAAGTCGTACGACAATAACATCACCAGAAAATTATCTCCCTTGCCTGAATGACATTTCAACCACCGAAAAAAAATTAACTTTTCACATCATTCATTTTCTACCAAAATATATAGAGGCAGTACATAGTCCGGACTGTGAAATACTTAACTTTGTATACCGCTTCCAAGGAAGTCGGTAATAATGGAAAATGTCCTATAATATTCGGTAAGGTTATAAATACAGGTCCTATTCAATTCGTAAATTAGCCTGTCTATAGCAATTTTCATAATGCCAGCGTAAATCACATATGCCTCGTTGCTATTTATTTCTTTTTTGTTGTTCATTCCTAGCTGATATAGATTTCGTTTTGCTGATAGGTTTGTCTGTTAATAGTGCTTGAAATAACCAATAAACATCGACCTTTCATTCAACATTACCTTTAAGACACCGATCCTCTCTAAATGTGTCGTTACATTTTCCTAGACAAGACCCATTGACATGATGGCAAACTTCGAACTCACAATTCCCACATTTTATAGAACGGTTAGATCCCAAGTATCCATTAAGGCAAACTTCAGGAACAATAGCAAGAATTTCAATACAACAGAAACAAAACAAACAAACAAACAAAAAACGGAAACCTCTTATGTAATGCTATGTAATATATTGAGTACATAGCCCGTTCTAGCTAAAGGGGCTATGAACTAAAAGAATATGAACATTTTTCTTACAAGACCCAGGGATCATAATTTCATTAAATTTTGATCTTATTTATTTGGGGATGTTTCATTAAATACGAAGTCGCCCGCGTGACGCAGTGGTTAGAGCGATTGCTCTAGAGTCGCTAAGTGAGGAGTTGATCCTTACGTCGCGGGTTCGAATCTCACTGCGGGACGTGGAGACCGGTCCTTCGGATGAGATCGTATAAACCCTAGTCCTGTGCCGCAGTAGTTGTTGGCATGTTGGCACCAAAAAGATCCCTCACTGTTCAATTGCCTTGAGTGCAGAGTATACGCCCTCCATCGGCAAGTTGTGGCGTCTCAGTATGAATGAATAATTCTCGAAAGGGGATTTTAATATAAAACAAACATTAAATACGATTAATACTGCAGCTCTGCTGTTTGTGAAAAAAAATCAAATTTCTTTCCTACACATTTCCATGAAAAAAACTTTTACGTCCTCGCCCTACCCCACGGTCCATTATTTGAACAAAGAATCTGCACGACTTTAGGATGCTTGTACATTTATATGATCACTGCCTTGCTGTTATGAAAAAAAAGATTGTTAAAGATTTTTCTCTTTTACATTCCCATGTAAAATGTTGGTCTCCTTAATGTGGCAAGACCCTAACCAAAGGACAATGATTTGAATCTGCACTACCTGATGATGTGTCCATTTAAATATGAATAAGCATTGCTTTGCTGTTTTTACAAGTTTGTTTAATGAATGTTCCCTTTATAAATCTATCTTAATGTAAAATTTTGATCTTCTGTTGTGGCCCCAACCTATCCATAGCGGTCATGGTTTGGACAAACTTGAATCTGCACTACCTACGAATGTTCCCCTTTCAATACGACTGATCGTGGCTTGGCTGTTGTGGGAAAAAAATGATCATTTTTACTTAGATATTTTCATTGTGAATCTAGATCTCCAACTCCCTGAGCACTGATTTAAACAAGTGTTTTTTAACATTTTGACAGGAATCTTTCACATTTTTTTCTTCATCTTTTCTGGTCAAGCGGGTCCTGAGAAGACTTTAAAGTGATACCATCCTATTTTTGCCTTTTCTTGAAAATCTTCCCTTTGAAGAGACACTGCTTTCAATTGAAAAAAAAATGAATCCCCTTTACTTTGATTTAAAAAAATACTATGAAAGTACATGTACTTTGTACAGTACGACAAAAAAAAAATGTTTACCATTTTCACACATAGCACCAGTCCAACCATCCATGCAACCTTCATTGCATCTCCCAGTTATGTGATTACATAAATTGTCGTGACATTTATCACAAACTCCCTTGCATTTTATTCCATACGTTCCAGGCAAGCATTCTTTAATGAAATAATTTTATTACATGTACTTATCCTTTAAGATGGATTTTTTTCATATTTATTTTATAAAATATCAATGAAATTTTCACAATCAAAATACAAATTCGCTAAGTGATGGTATTAGTAATGTTAAATTTGATACTCTTATCTAAGTAGCAAGGTTACAAAAAGGTCAGTACTATATTTCTTCTTGACATTAAGGATAGAAATTACTGTTGCCCATCATGTGGTGCATATTTTTTTTTAATTTATTTATTTATTTATTTTTTGGAAACATTATTTGATTTTCTGTTTGTGTAAATTATAGATAAAGACTCAAAGATAATAGAGCTAAAAGTAAGATTATAATTTAACCAAAACAGATTATCAGATAACCTGAATTTCCTCTCATTTTCTAACATTTTAGCTCATTTTTCTACGTTTCACATGTTAGAGTCTTTTTTGTTCAATAAGGGACTCAAGTTTTAGTCTGTTTCATGTTTGGATGTTTTACTGACTATAGACTATAATAGCCAAATAACAAGTAAATTGTATGACAAATGAGATGACTTCAGCTTTTCCATCGTCAACATTCCTTGTTTGTATATTAATATTCCGCTGTCACCTGTGTATGGTGTTGGGTGTTTACATCCCCAACTTATCATATACTCAGGAGCATGTTTTGAGGTCGATCAACTTTTAAGCTGAGGCGGGCTACTGACAGATGGGTTTGTTTTACAGAAATTTCGAAAGCCTGGTTTGAAGTCAGCATTTCGTAGGTTCTTCGGTCGTTTTGGTGACTTTGTTGGTGCAAATATGGCCTATGAGTAGTGTTTTTGCTGGCGTATTGCATGCAAATTGTTAGGCCTTTGTTTTCGTACAGAATTTGACTGTGGAGACCCGTTTGCCTAATGGGTGCATATATAGGGCTCACGGCAGGTGTGGCCGGTCGGCGAGGGATGCTTGCTTCTCCTGAGCACCTGATCCCCCTCTAGAGTTTCCAGGGGTCCGTGTTTTTTGCCCTGTTTATAGATTTTTTTTTTTTTGGTTAGTTGGTTTTTGTTTGTTTGTTTGTTTGTTTTTTATTGTTTTTTTTTTTTTAATCGATTACTGTTCGTTATCTTCATTTTTTTTTTGTCAAATATGATTAAATAAGTTAAATAAAGATAAAACCGATACCCCGTAAATTAGAGAAAGAACTCTTTTCAAATTCTTAAGGATGGATTCTCCTCATATTGTATTTATATATTATAACTAAAATAATACAAAATGATACAATTTTGTTTTTTAAAAAAGTAGAGAAAGAATGTTTGTTAGTTCCTTAAGGATAAATTATAGATTTTGGCCCCATCAAAAGGGGGCGCCTGTATCATGTAATTTTTCATTCAAATCTGTTAAAAGATTGAGATCTATTAAAAATTACCATGATTGAAGTTTCTTCGGAATATCATATTAATTTAGTATACTCTATATCTTAAGTCCTTTTTCATAAATTCCATAGCTTTAGAAATATCTTTGACTCAGATTGTTTAAAAATATAACTAAATTCAGTATTCTGTGTAAATTTGAAAAGCAAAACAAACGATATCTCCTACGCTGCTGTTCCGCCAATAATACAATCCCTGCTAAATGTTTATCGTATTTCGTCATTTCTATTTCAAATTGCACATGTACCTGTATTATGAGAGGAAAAGAAGATATGGTCCCAGGATTATAAATCAGTCTTATACCTGAGCTTCTTAAGCGAATTATTCGCAATAATATTACATTTTCCGTTAAAAGTAATTTCGTGCATGTAAATAGTGTAAATATTACGGTTTAGATGAAGTATACAAATTAAAAACATCAACCTTTTTTATTATCAGAGAAAAAGCAAATTCTTAAGTCTTGAGACTTTAAAAAATGGCTTACTTTCTTTACATAGATATCCAGACCACCCTGGATCATATTCGGAAGGATAGGTTCCATCAAATCTATCACATGTCATTTTAGAATAGCAGTGTCCGCTACAGTTGAACTTGCAGTTTTTCCCGAATGTACCATTATCACATTCTAAAAACAGAAAAAAAAATGTTTTTTTTAGCTGTTGTTCCTTAAATATGTCTCTTTCAGTTTTGAATCCCATTTCACCTTCTATTTCAACATGTTCATTTGTCGGTATGAAAGAAAAATATGATTAAATTCCTCTCATATATATACTTTGAAGTTTACTCCGAAACCGGACAAGAATCCATCTTTAAGATACTGCTTGTATTGATATTGTATTTTCCATCAAGAATGATTCCGCAAATATTTGTAAATATTGTAATTTTAAGGAATTATACAAATAAAAGAAACGTTTTTCCATATCAGAAATTCCTAATTCATAAGTATTGAGACTTTAAACAAAAATGACCTACTTTCATTACATAGAGTTCCGAACCACCCTGGATCACAACCTGATGGGCAGCTTCCATCGATTCTATCACATGTCATATTAGAAATACAGTGCCCGCTACAGCTGTACTTGCAATTGTCCCCAAACATACCATCATTACATTCTGAAAACAGAAAATACGTAATATTTTCCCACGCTGCTTCTAGCTATAGATCTAAATCCCATTTCACCATTTCCAATTTGAGTTATACAATCTTTAATTAGAAAGGAAAAAATGATCTTTTAATCTCTTTGAATTGCTTTTCAATACAAAGGACATTTTTGTAAATATACTTTAAATATAAGTCAAAAACCAGACAAGAATCGACCCTTAACATCATTATTGCAGTGATGTTAAATGTATATGTAAAAACTATTTAGTTAAAAGTATTGTCTTAGATAGTTGTATATATTGTAGTTTATAAGAATTATACAAATTAAAAAATAATTTTATTTCCATAAAAAATGCAGATTTTAAAGTGATAAGACTTTTAAACAAAAAATGACCTACTTTCATCACACAGATATCCAGACCATCCGGAATCACATCCAAATGGGCAGCCTCCATTAAATCTATCACATGTCATTTTAGAATAACAATGTCCGCTACAGTTGTACTTGCAGTTTTCCCCATATGTACCATGATCACATTCTGATAATAGAAGAAAAAGAAACACGTAATACTATGTAATCGGACTTACCCTAAATACTCAAAATTTATCACATGCTGTGCTTCATAATTTTGTCCCAAAACATAATTTATTGAAATATGTATGATTTTTTAATATTAGATTTCCATATAATTTTTATTGAAACGTTCAGACATACCATCGGAGCATTTGTTTCCTTTCCATCCCTTATCACAGTCATTTGTACATTTTCCATGGAGCCCAACCTTGCAGGGAATATCTGAAATTTTGCTATCGTTAGAATAAGGATGATCGGAACGATTTTCACCACCGAATGTTGTGAGTTTTGCAAATATATTGCATGTTTTTATTCTTTAATGATTAATGATATTATGACAAAAAAGCAAGTTTTCGCAATAAATACCAAATATTTAGAAACAAATTATATGTGCAGTGCATGAACGTATCTACAGAGTATCTATATCAAATTAAAAATATTGTGTAGAAAGGTTTGTGTAGTTACAATGATAACATTTTATGAGAAGAAAAAAAAAATGATTTCTCTTTTTGACAATCATTCTTAACATTTTTCAATCGCCCTGAAAAAATCATGGATAAGATAAACTAAAGATTTGCAAGCATACCACAATTAGTCCCGGTATATCCTTCCAAACAGTTTTCACAACTTTTCCCTTGAAACCCTGGTTGGCATTGTATGCAGCCCTTAAGAATATTACAGTTTTCACAATGGCGTCCACATTCTGCACAATGCTCACCATATTGGTTTTTCTTCACAACCTTAGAAAAGATTTTCTTTATTCTAGAGGGTATAATTATTTTCTAAAGTGCAGGTTCTTTAATACTGAAATTTTATGCATAAAGTGCTATAATATAATATATAAAAAAGTTAAATATAAATTCATATAAAAAGAAAATCTTATTTTATATTTTACGTATATATTTATATTCTTGAATGCACGTTTCATATAAGATATATGTATATCAAAGATTTCAACTTCAATATTACATATGTATGTCATCTTATAAAACTATCAGGTAATTCTCATCACTGGTTGTACTTATTTTTTTCCGACACACATTGAAGCTTTTCTGAGATCCTCTGGAAAAAAGCTTCCCGAATAATATTTTGTAACAAGTTCATTGCAATGTATTGAATACGAATACGTTTGTTAGAAGTTAAACTGTTTTTATTTATCACAGATAACGAAAAAAACAAATGAAAAAAAAACAACGAGATAACGAGATATTTGATTCCATGAAAAAAAATCAAAATATCTCTAAGCACTGTGAATATCGGGGGTATTCCAAAATAAGCTTCATATATAGCAACCTTTCACGGTAACTCAGTCGGTAGAGCGCTCGCTCCGTGATCGGGAGGTCGTGAGTTCGAATCTCGGCCGCGACTGACCTAAATCGATAAAAAATGGGTAGCAACTGTTCCTTCGCCATGCGCTCCGCACTTTGAAGTGAAAGTTGCGGGTCCTTCGGATGAGACTTTAAAAACCGAGGCCCCGTGTCACAGCAGGCGTTGGCACGATAAAGATCCCTCACTGCCCAATGGCCCTAAGTGCCGAGTAAAGGTCAAAATTTGAAGCCCTTCACCGGTATAAGGTGACGTCTCTATATGAGTGAAAAATTCTCGAATTGGACGTAAAACAACATACAATCAATCAATCAATCATATATAGCAAATAGTGTTGCGTACATGGAAATCCGCACATATTACAAATGATGACCGATACGTTTTGCTTTGAATAACGGACTTAACCTGAAAGATACATTGTAGTTGCTTATTTATTCTGACATGTAAAAAGACATGCTGTTATGCTTTTTTTTTCAAAATGTTAGTAAATAAATAAATATCATTTTTTATTTCATTCCCGGCATGAGATATGGATCCGATACACGGTTTCCAAGCTTATAAATTACTCCGACGTAATAAACATTGATGATTCACAGGATAGATATACATATACGAGTGTATTGTATCATATCTCAAAAGCATTCGACATAAAAAGTGAATTTCAATCTCTGAATCCATTTCTGAAATGCATCACGATACGCTGATTTAAGTAGAACTTTGAGGCGCTGACTGATGACTGAGCCAAGGGCTTGTCGGGACTTGTAACGACCACCAGATAAGAACTTTTTAAGTTTTGGAAAAAGTCGTATGGGGCTAGATCTGGAAAGTATGGTGGGTGTGACAAGACAGTAATCCTCTCCGACTTCAACTAATGCTTCACATGCTCAGATGTATGCGATGGAGCATCATCCTGAAGTAGACGAACATGCCAAAGTCCTGACACAGAGCGTCGTTTATGATATTTCTTTAGCTTTTTTAGTATAACATCTCTGTAATACCGACCTGTAACACTTTTGCCCTTTTGCATCGGAATTTGTACGGCTATACCATCACATTAGAAGAATGTGCAATAGAGATCCTTCTTAGTGCTTATGATTCTTTTGGCAACTACAGGCCTTCTGCCGTGGTTAGTTTGCCATATTTTGATTCCAATTTTTCTTACTGGTTCTAAATATTGAACCCGTGTTTCCCTCACCAGTAACAATGTTTGCAAATTGTCTTTGATTGAATTTGGGAAACATTTTGAGCAATTGCTTAATTAGCGGTTTGTACTTGAACCCATTTTTGGTCATCTGTCAATATATACAGTACCTATCTGGCAAAATTCTTTCGTACTTTCAAAATACGCTTCAAAATGAAATGCACCCGCGATAGCGATATGCCAACAGCTTGGACAATATCACGGATCATGTATCTGCCATCACTTTTAATTATTTCCCTGACTTTTGAAACATTTGCCTTGCCTGTTACAGTCACATGTATAATTTTTTGTTGCATCTTTGACGGACTCTATGCCAGTCAGGAATTTCTTTCTCCACCTACAAACTGTCTCATAAGATGCCTTTTCAGACCCATAAACTTCCCCCAATTCCGTAAAAATCTGCATTACAGAATGACAAAGTGTTGTACAGTCTTTTATATATGCTCTAATTTCTTCAATATTCTCAACCCGTTTTTCAACCAGTGGTCAACGGCAGGCTCTATTGAAATGGCGATAAGTTTAAAACTACCCCATATTTATACTGTTGGAAAGGTATTGAATAGAGCTATTTAAGAGTGCAAAGCATTATCGCACTGTGGTACAATAAATATTACATATCGAACAGCCCCCGTATATTTTGGTACTCAAGAATAGAAATGCAGGGTCTGAATTTAAAGCAAGCTCTATGCTTGTTTGATTAGGTGAAGCATATCTAAATGCAAATAATTTTTGCATGATTTGAACAGAATTGAATACTATTGCGCATATAAATATATGTTTTCTAAGAATTAAATTGAAAAGGTTTTTTTTATTGAATTTATCAATATTTCATAATAATAAATCTGCTATTAAAATGGAGATGTGTTTAAAGAAAACTGTGCTGTAACTACAACATGCACTCATTGGATGCTACCATGATTACTAAATAATTACCATACACTTCGATTTCACATATTTCCAAGAAAGCCTCACTTCCGTCCCATGAAGTTGTCGTCAAAAACTGCACATAACGAGCCTTGCCAAGACATTCCACAATAGAGGGCATATGAATTGGTAATTCCACAGGGGTATAATCACGGTAACATTTTTTCCACTGATTTTCATAAAGCCATAAGGTATACCAATGTAATCTTCTTGTATTAAGAGATTCATTGCCTCCTGTAATGAAAATTAAAAAAAAACATAAAATGTATAAATTTCAAGTGATGAAAGATCGTACAACCTTTTTACTTGCGTGAACGACCTACAAAAATAATTATTGCTTGATGTAAATGTATGCTTTCGAAATTAATCACAGGTTAAAAGACCATCTTTAAGCAATCGTTTAATGGTGGCTTAATGGTAGCTAAATGGTGGCTTATAAATGTTAATTCCTTTAAGCCAACATTAAGCCACCGTAAAGCCGCAGCTTATACGAACATAATGTCCAAACTTCGCTAAGCTACCATTTAGCCACCTTTGAGCTGCAGCTTAATGGTGGCTTAATGTCTAAACCTAATTAAACCACCTTAACGCATCCTTATCAAGTCTTTAAATGAAATATATGGAGATAACGAACAGTATTCAAGCTCAAAAGTCCATTAAACAATACAAAATAGGAGCAGAGCAAACCCGGACCTCCAAACATCAGAGGTGGGATCAGGTGCCATGGAGGTGTGAGCATCCCCCGCCGACCGGTCACCCCCGCCGTGTGCTCCTTGTCATGATCGGGAAATAACGGAAAAATCCGTCGACAATTCAGTGTGTAAATAATGGCCTAACAATTAGTATGAAAAACGTCAGTCAGCATTTGACTCAATGATAAATTGTAATTGCTGACAAGGTCATTGTATCGACCATATAACTTACGAAATGATGACTTTAAACGCGACAGCTGATATTCTTGTTTCATCAACTTGTTTGTCAATAATTTACCTCGTTTTAGAAATTGTACTTTCGTAGAGCATGCTCTTTCGTATCGAATCAACTGAGAGATATATACCCCGTATGCAGGTGGTAAGGATATATTGCTACAAAAGTAAGAGAAGTTGACTGCTGAAAGCTACTGACAGAAAAGTTGACTAAACAAGGATATCAACGGTCTCGTTTGAAGTCATCTTTTCGCAAGTTTTTCGGACGATATAATGACCTTGTCAGCACATACAACCTATCATTGAGGGAAATGCTGACTGACGTTATTCATCTTATTGTTAGGACATTATTTTCGCGATCATGACATGGCACCTGATCCCACCTCTAAATTTTGAGGTCTGTGTTTGCTCTGCTCCAAATTTGTTCCGTTTCATTGGACTTTCGATTGAATATTGTTCGTTATCTTCATATTTCATGCAGCATGTGTTGGCGAAGGAATACCTAGGGATGAAGATTTGGAGAGTGCAGCGGTGCGAGAAGTAGACAGTAATGTATGTTATTCAGAAAACTACTGGACCCTCTTGCTGTTAATATATCGTCGTTTATTAGTCACCTACCGGTGAATCCGGAAGGGACTAAACATTAGACAAAATTGCTAATGCACCACCAAAGAAAATGAATATTTTACTTTTTAAAACTTGTGTATGATGTTTTTGATATATTATTATTTTACTCAGTTAGAAAAGAATGAGGCATTTAAATGTCTTACTAATAAATAACTACAATGTTAACGGAAGCGTAGCCATTTCATAGAAAAATTACAATCATGTTCATACTTTTTGGACGAACAAATTTCTATTTATTTCTTTGTGTTTGTGTGTTCTTTATGTTTCTACTAATGAAAAACTCAGAAAGAAGTTAAACCTTATGCGGCGTTTGACCCTAGAAGAGCGTGCCAATGCAGTCATTTCGGTGTCTACAGGGGGTTCCTTTAGAGAAATTTTTGAAAAATAAAAACAAATAAAAGATTATTGATTCCTCTAATAAAAAACTGTTGTAAATAAATGAACAAACATGAAAATTTTTACTATAGATAGCCACGGCATAAAATGAGCACCACACGACATTTTAAGATTGTTCAACAAAACTGGGGCAACCGGTGCGGAAGTTGGGTGGACTGGGAATGGGCACCAAGGCACTGGATGACTACTAGGCGATATGATAGTCAGTCGCTGTATGTTATTTGATTTTTTAACTGGGAGACTGCTTCTGTCGCAACCTCACAGACAACCTTCGGTAATCACCCAACTTCATACCTGGGCAAAAAAAAAAAAAATGCGCAG